CAATTTTGGGTTAGATAATTCTTTGCTGTGGTGGCTGTCCTGTGTGTTGTAGGATTTTAGCAATACCCTTGGCTTCTACCCACTACATGCTAGTAAAACACTTTTATCGGCGATAACCAAAAATGTCTCCACACACTGCTGAATGTCCCCTGGGGGGAGTGCAAAATAGCTCCCAGTTACCACTGTTTTAGAGGGATTAAAATGTGGGGAACAGGTGCGTCTTAGATAAATGAAATAGGGTACTAAAATGTGGGAGCTGTCAGTGCTTAAGCTCACAAGACTGGATTTGGATAGAAAAGTAGTCTGAGGACTGCACCTTGGGGTACTCCAATGTCAAGAGACCATAGACATGAGAAAGAGATTGTGAAGGAATGGTCAATGATATGCATCCACTCCTTCCCCAAATCAATCTAAAACAAAGATAAATGATTTTTTTTTTCTGTTGCCTTTTAAAAAAATATTTATTTTGAGAGAGAGAAAGAGAGCAAGTGAGCCCATGCGTGTGTGCACAGAGTAGGAGCGGAACAGGGGCAGAGAGAGAGGGGGAGACAGAATCCCAAGCAACTCCACGGTCAGCACAGAGCCGGACATGGGGGCTCAAGCTCATGAACTGTGAGATCATGACCTGAGCCAAAATCAAGAGCTGGATGCTTAACTGACTGAGCCACCCAGGCACCCCTTGTGTTGCTTTTGAAAAAAAAATTAGTAACAAACTCACAAGCCATGACAAAATTTTGGAAGCCAGAAAGCATTTGGCTGAGTGGTAATCAACTCATCGACCCAAGGAAAGCTGAATGTTGAGCCAGCACTGGAGAAAAGCACAGGAACAACCCAATGTACATCATGTAACCTCAAAAGTCTCCAGAAGCAACAGAAATGATCGTGGGAAGAAAAGCAGGAGGATTACTTGAAAGCATACTTAAGAAAGCAGTTAATTCCCAGATTCCTTCCTTTACTCGCCCACCAGCAGTGGTCTCAAGTTCAGACTGACAGTCACTTATAGGACCCAAAAGACCATAGTTTGGCACTAAGTTTACTTAGTTCTGTAGAAAGACAAAGCATGCTAGCATGAGACATGCTATCTTTAGAAGGGATTATACAGTCCCCCAGGAGCCTTTTGTGGACACACCATTGTAAAGGACAGAGATCATGTAGGTAAGTACAGAAATCACTCTGGCTTAGGGAAACTTCATACTCCACATGAATCAGCAGTACATTTTAACAGCCAATGAGTATAGGTTCTAGGATCCCTCAAGGGATGTATTTATGTTCACTTACAAAACTGACACACTGCACACTGGGAAACAAAGGACTGTGTCTTTTCATAGGCTTCTATAGTTTACTCATAGTTACTTCCCAGTCCATATGCACTCACTAATCAGGAGTCAGTTTGCAATAAACAATATTACCTGGAAACATTCTATATTTATTAGTCAAGTTTCTAGTTAAAAAAAAAAAATGCCAGGAGAAGGAAAACACCCAAGATTGTTTCCCATGAAAATAAGGGCTCAGACTTGCTATTAACCCTTTTCTACTTAAAGTGATTCTTTAAGTAGAATCACCCCTCTGAGCCACCGACTGTGTGGCTCAGTCGGTTAAGCACCTAACTCTTGATTTTGGCTCCAGTCATGATCTCATGGTTCATGGGATCAAGCCCCATGTCAGGCTCTGTGCTGACAGCGTGGAGCCTGCTTGGCATCCTCTCTCTCTCTCTCTCTCTCTCTCTCTCTCTCTCTCTGCCCTGCCCCTGATCATGTGTGCGTGCGTGCTCTCTCTCTCTCAAAATAAATAAACTTAAAAAAAAAAAAGTCATTCTTGAAGGGGAACTTTTGCCTTAAAGGGAACACATAGCAACGTCCGGAGATGTTTCTAGTTGTCACAACTGTCACAACTGAACTAGGCGTATGTACTCCTGGCACCTAGTGGATAGATGTCAGTGACGCTGCTGAATGTCCTACAATGCACAAGATAGCTCCCACAACAAAGAATTATCTAGCCCAAAATGTTAGTAGTGAACGTTGAGAAATCCTGACCTAAAGGGATTAGACAGAAGTTCACATACTGAACACTGAGGACCACCTCACATTGCAAGCCTTCTCAAATGGGCTGTTAATGCACTGGCAGCCAAGCATATGCCCTCCATGCAGGAGAATGGAAGAATCTTCTCTGGAGAAGCTCACCCACCTGAGAGAAAAGACCTAAGAATGATCCTACAGCAAAGACTGCAAAAGACAACAAAGAACTTTAAGATGATAGTAACAGAACACTAATTTTGTTTGAACCAAGAGACTTAATTAACTGGGGGAAAGTTTGGAGTTGAAATAGTGATAAACATACAAAAAAACTGTATGTTTTTAAACTTAAAGACAAGTTTTAATTCCAGGTAAGCAAAATGTAATGTCCCAGAAAGGAAATGTAATAAAAGCACATAGAGCCTGGGGCACCTGGGTGGCTCAGTGGGTTAAAGCGTCCGTCTCTTGATTTTGGCTCAGGTCATGATCTCATAGTTCCTGAGTTTGAGCCCCACACTGGGCAGTGCGCTGACACTGCAGAGCCTGCTTGGGATTCTCTGTTTCCCACCCCCCTCTCTACCCCTCTCTCACTTGCTCCCTATCTCTCCCAAAAATTTTAGAAAGAGAAAGAGAAAGAGAGAGAGAGAGAGAGAGACAAAGAGAGAGAGAGAGAGAGAGAAAGAAAGAAAGAAAGAAAGAAAGAAAGAAAGAAAGAAAGGAAGGAAGAAAGGAAGAAAGGAAGAAAAGACAGGCATATAGAATTTAGCACCAAACTGCATGTATACAGTCATGATAATACAAACACTGAATAGTATCCCAACCAAAATACACTGGGAGGATAGGAAGGGAGAAGGGAAAGGAGCTGTCTAAAAAGGAATTGTCTAAATCCTAATCTTCCAGAACAAGAAGTCAGAAGATAGCACATATAACTATAATAAATCAAGAAATAGTAATAGAAGTATAGATTTAATGATATAGATGTAAATACCCTGAGAATCAGCTAAAAGAGCAGACAGTTCTAACCTCTGAGAGAATATAGCATGTTTGTACACATGTGTAGCACTGTTTTCTGTAACAACCCTCACAGAACTATTGAGCTCTTTAAACTCCATGCATGCAAATGTAATTAAAATATGCTTTAAAAATTGTATTTGAGTGTAGGGACAATTTGATACATGGGTTTGGGATCTAGTAAGCCTCAACTGGTTTTCTTAATTTGAAGAACAGACTAGATCCATAAAAAAGTGCACTAAAACAAGTTCCAGATTTGCTAAACCACTTTTCTACTCATCCAGGCAAGGCAAAAGAACAGGCTGGATAGAGAAGGCTTCAACTCTTTCCCTGCTTTATTCCTGGTTTACTCACCAAACTTTATACTGAAGTCTTACATTAAACATGATACTACTGAACACAGGCATCCTTGCCTATGAATGCCACAAGGTCACATTTGAAGAGTTTGCTGGGAGAGGATTTTTCATTTTTCATTTTATTGTATGAATTTATATAATGAGTATATTTTTACAGATGAAACACAAAGATACTTAATGATTAGTTCATAACCTGACCACATACATCTTGACCCAACTCAAAATAACCTGATTAGAAAGAAGGAATATCAATATATAAAACACAGAATAACCAAGAAAGCATAGCCCTAATAAAATATTGCTCATATTCCAAAGGGTAAATCTAAAAGACATAAATGGAGCCGGTGCTAAATATAATCCCCAAATACCGTAAGACAGAAATCAATTTTTAAGTTCTCTATATAATATACATACCACTTAAATGAGCTTCATTTTAAATAAGTCAAAGTTTATTTTTTAGATTGATATAATGTACGTATTCTTTACAAGCAATAAAACTCAAGTTTATCTCCAAACCACCATGATCCATGCTTCTTTTATGCCGCACTGTGCCCAGAACAAGCTAGGTACATTAATGGGTACAAGGAGTTACTGATAGAAATTAATCTAATGAATTAAATCAATGGGGGGAAAATCAATAATGTTGAGTAATAGGTGTAAATTTTAAATTTCTCTGTGATTCTTTAAATCATGTTTGCCAAGATTTTACCTTAGTATTGACTATTCACAAATAGATTATTTTACCCTGTGGTAGAGAGCATTGTAAACAGAAACCAAATGGAAGGCTGGCTTTATTTTGCCCACAGTGATTTTCTTCTTTCTTGCTGTTTACCGTGTAATCATATTGCCTTCTTCTTGACAAAAATATTCAATAAAGAATTTACCTACACTAAACTCAGCTTTTGCTAAACTCATTTTAACATATATCCATTTCTTACTCTTGCCCCAACACATCCAAAAAACTTTGTCTTTTAAAAATCCATTCACATATATTATCCCTTTTGATTCTCTGAACCACCATATGAGGAGTACACCCTGTGCTATTAGCTCCATTTTACTTAGGAGAAATTGATGTCCACAGAGGTTGAATAACTCATTTAAGGTCCTAATGGTAGTGAGTGGCAAAGATAACACTTGGAACCAAGTTTTATGATTCCAAGTCCATTGGCTTTTTTCACTACAGTACACTTACTCTTTGATAACAAAATAGAATATTGGAGGACTACAGTGGTGATAGGTATCTTTTTCATAAGTTGTTTTATAATAAACATACATTAAAAGCAACTATTATCAGCTTAACAACTATAACAGCTTTGCAAAATGGCATCAAATATAAATCACATTTCAAGTTTTTAAATCATGTGAAACAAATGATATTAATTCAAGGGCTTCAAACAGCCTAAGAATAAAATGAAGAAACTCTCTTAATTATTGTGACACTGCTGTATCTGGTAATATATTCCTTCTGTAGTCTGATTTGAAAACTTAGCTTAGAGGGATCCTTGACAAATTTTAAATGTAGAAAAAAAAAGATAGTTAATTAAAACTACGTTTAAAAAAATATAATTTCCTCCTTTTTTTTAGTACTAAAATGCCAGGAAAAAAAGTACCATCTACTTACCTCAGTAATTGGCTGCCCCTGATGTGTCAAATCCAGTTCTTGAGGGCGTGTTACTTTATCAATATCCAATGAGTCCATGCTGGACGTTGCAGAGGTGATGCTAGAACGAGAGGAGTTACTAATAGAGCGCACTTCAGCATCGCTCACTGTGCCTGCTGATGCTGTTCTTCTGTGCTGATTAGTTACTGACGGCTTAGTGTCTTCTAGTACAGATTGCTGAGCAGCCTCATCCATGCTCAAGGAAGCCTGCTCTAATTGTGCAGTGATGTCATCCAGGGAGTAGTTGGCATGTGACACTTTAGTTACTCTGTTAGACGAGGACGACAATCCTTTCAAAGTGCCATGTTTTGATGCATGTCGGCTAGCAGGTAATTTCTGAGTAGCTTTTGTTTCTGTGATTTGACGCTTACTATTTCCTGCACCAATACTGCTGAGCTCCTGCTCTATTGAGCAAAGATCGGCCATCAGGGCATCCAGATCCACAGTTTCTCCCTGATTCAGAGCTTCTGCAATAAACAATATACATGATGTGTCCAGATCACACTGAATGAGAATTTATACATTCTATTATAAATCTGCTAATGAATGCAGGGGAAGAAGCAAAGAAATGTATCCTATTGGGCCTAAAGCCTACCAAATATATATTTCTAAGAGTTTTTTGTTTTAAATTCAGAGAAATTTTTAGAAGCAAATAGTCCCTCTTTTAAGATTTATAGTAATCAGCAGAGAATAAAATTATGAATTGAAAGATAAAAATAATGCAAAAATCATATACTGTCCCATGGTTTTAACCACATCCCCCATCCAACTTTTTACCGTAGGCTATATGCTGTTAATATGATCAGTGCCTTGGTAGAGCTGTTAATACCTGAAGAGTTGAGAGCATAGAAGGAAAAATACAAGGCCTAAAAAAACTGCAGATTACGATGTCAATTCCAAATATTATAAAGTTGATTAGGCAGAATACATTAAATAAAGGCCAGAGGAGCTGATTTAAAAACTAACAGGTAATTTCACTGGACTTTATTTCAATGAAAATACAACTTGAGTATGTACCTGGTCAAATTATTAATCACTAGAAAACTATTTTGGTTATGTTCCAATTCAGTTTGTTCTGTGATCATTTCAATTAGTAATAAAATGCACAAACCAAGAAATATACCAACTTACTGAAGTTATGCATGTAGTTTTTACATTGAGCTATTCAGAACTGTAACTGCATTCCTTCCACGTTATATAATTTAGTATGCTGTTTCACATTTTATTTCCAATTACATCTTACCATTCAAGTTGTATATGGAGAAGCGATAAGAAAAATTGGCCATATTTGTTTCTTGACGAAGAGGAGATCTTTTTACTGGTTCCATGGGCTTGTCAGAATCTAAGCTCTTTAAAAAAGAAAGTTTAATAAGTTGTATTATTTTCAGGCTTTGATTATAAAAAAGATAAAGTTTGATTAGGTGAACTTTCATAGAATAGTTAATAAAACCAAAATCCTTCTAGTCCTAAGGAAAAGTATAATTGTTTTTCATATTATTTTGGCTATAATTTTTTTTTCAATTGTTAGATACATGCTTACTTTAAGGCATTTAAGACCATCCTAGTTCAGAGTGAGTATCATTCCGAATACCTCAAGTGATGAACTCATTTTATATAAATTCATTATAATCTGAGCGTATGAATATGGACATGGAAAGATAAAAAATAGAAAGGAACAATGCAGGGAATTCTGTTATCTCTTTCCTCAAAGGGATTTGTTTTTGGTCCAGCATAGTCTCATTCTTGGTATGAAGTACCCTGAAGATAAGGCAAAATTCTGGACTCAAAATGAGTGAAATCCAAGATCATTTTGTTTCTTTGTATTTATTTTTATTAAAAACTTGTTTTTTTTAGTTTTAATTCTAGTTAATATATACTGTTATATTAGTTTCAGGTGTACAATATAGTGATTCCACAATTCTATACATTACTCAGTGCTCATTATACCAATCCCCTCCCCTTTGGTAACCATCAATTTGTTCTCTATAGTTTAGAATCTATATTTTGGTTTGTCTCTTTTTTTCTTTGGCCTTCTTTAGTGATATACTTGGATTCCTTTCTCTTTATTGTTTGCATATGTATTACTGGTTTTTAATTTATGGTTACCATTATGTTTGTATATAACATTTTCTGTATATAGCAGTCTACATGAAGTTGATGGTCACCTAAGTTTGAACCCATTCTTTTTTTTTTTTAATTTTTTAATTTTTTTTAATGTTTATTTATTTTTGACAGAGAGAGAGAGCATGAGGGGGGAGGGGCAGAGAGAGAGGGAGACACAGAATCTGAAGCAAGCTCCAGGCTCTGAGCTGTCAGCACAGAGCCCGATGAGGGGCTCGAACTCACAGACTGTGAGATCATGACCTGAGCCGAAGTCGGACGCTCAACCAACTGAGCCACCCAGGTGCCCCTGAACCCATTCTTTACTCCTCTCCCCCTCATGTTTTAGGTGTATGGTGTCATACTTTACATCCTTTTATTTTGTGAATCTCTTGACTTATTTTTATAAAAATACTTATTTTACTGCTTTTGTGCTTCCTACTTTTCTCACTCCTAACTTTTGGTCTTTCCACTCAGAGTCCCCCTTAACATTTCTGAGATTAATAAACAAATCCTCCTCTCCTTTACCCCAAGTGTTTTTCAAACTGTTGCTTCTATGCTCTATCTCAGTGGGGCTGTTTGTTGTGCTGCCTCTTCATGGGCAGTTTCCTCTAGCCCTTCTGGGTCTCCCAGAGCCAAGCCCCCTGATTTTAAAGTTCTAAGTGTTAAGCTCCACTGATTATAAGAAGGGACATTCAGCCCCTCTGGTTTTCAAAGCCAAATGTATGGGGATATGTCTTCCTCATGCAGGGTCCCTCATGTGAGCATCTGCTTCTCTCCCCTCTCCACACCCAGGATGCCCCTCCCTCATGTCTCTGCCCTTCCTTCTCTCTTGGATGTGGCTTCTTCACTACATTTAGCTACGGAGAGTTTGTTCTGCCAGTCTTTAGGTCATTTTCTGGGTCATTTACACTGATGTGGGTGTTACCTAGTTGTATCTATCAGACCAAGTGAGCTTAGGATCTTCCTACTCCACCATCTTCCCCAGAAGTTCTAAGACCTAAGATCTCAACAGAGAGTGGCTACAACTTCAAACAACGACGGAATATCCTTTTTCTTCTCAAACTCTATTAAGAGGAGGACAAAATGTAATCCAGCTGTGATACTGCCTATAAGTCTAGAATTACACTGTACTTAAGGACAGTGTCTTGTAAGTTATCTTGCTAACTCTTTAAATGACACTTTTCCTCTCTAACCTTTCTACAATAAAGAATATAAGATGCTTACAACAGAGAAATTCAGGGGAAAGGTCAGTAGTTAGTGTCTATGTAAATAAATTTGCAAATATTAGGAATAGTCTTTTAAAACTTTAATTTCTATTTAAAATCAAATAGATTTTAAATACAAAAAGAATGCTGGATAGTCTTTTTGTAGAATCATGGAATTAGATTAGAATGGCGCCTTCTTTATTCACTTGTCTCAAGATAAAAGGAATCCATTCAGATAGTGTCCAACCAGTTTTTAAAGCTATCATATGAAACTTTGAAATATCAAAGTTTCACAAAACTGTCAGGAAATTCTTTCAACCTCAAACCCAGTTCTGCAATTTAAGTCCTAATGCTTCTCTCAGTGGAAATGAAAAGTAATAGGTAGATAATATTTTCTGTAAAAGAACTTGAATATAATTGAGGACATATTAGGAGTCCATCTATTTACCAGTTCAAATAAACAGATACTTGTTATAATTATCTGCTGTGCCCACAGTGCTGGGGGAACAAGGGAAATAGTAAGAAATACTCCTTGACACCAAGAAATTGGTAACCAAGTAGTATGGGTTTTAACTCTTTTGGGGTGTTTGGGCAGGGTGGGGGGAAGTATCATGAGAATTTTGTAAAAGCTATGTATGACCCTTCTTCCAAGAAAAGGCAAATACACAAAAATTTTTACAAATGATTTTAGAGGATTCACCAACCACTTAGAAGTTAAACTCAATTTAATATAAAGTTGAAAATCCCATTAACACAGTATGTATGATACAGGTGCACAGATGACACTTTGTAGTAAATTAAAATAATGAAACAAAAACTTGAGGTTTAAGCCGCTAATAAAGTACATAAACCATTTTTTGAAAATTTCTAAAGTGTTGAAAAGCAACTTGTTATCAGTGAGCCACAGCATGCAATGGTTTTAATTCTGTCTCTAAAGACACATTTATACAATAAAAAACCAAAAACAACAACAACAAAAAACAAAAAAAATCAATGGGGTGCCCAGTAGCTCAGTCAGTTAAGCATTTGACTTCCACTCAGGTCATGATCTCATGGTTCATGAGTTCAAGCCCTGCGTCAGGCTCTGTGCTGACAATTCAGAGCCTGGAGCCTGCTTCGAATTCTGTGTCCCTCTCTCGCTGCCCCTCCCTCGTTCACACTCTGTCTCTCTCAAAAATAAATAAACATTGGGGCGCCTGGGTGGCGCAGTCGGTTAAGCGTCTGACTTCAGCCAGGTCACGATCTCGCGGTCCGTGAGTTCGAGCCCCGCATCAGGCTCTGGCTGATGGCTCAGAGCCTGGAGCCTGTTTCCGATTCTGTGTCTCCCTCTCTCTCTGCCCCTCCCCCGTTCATGCTCTGTCTCTCTCTGTCCCAAAAATAAATAAACGTTGAAAAAAAAAATTAAAAAAAAAAAATAAACATTAAAAAAAATTTTATAAAACAAAACAGTCACAGCATTAGGTTAGGAGCCAACTTTTTTGGTGAGTGGCTCTTTACATTATATGGCAAGAAATTTAAAACACTGGGAAGAATACAAGTACCAAACCAGTAGAAATGCCATTTGCAGTGAAATAGCATGGAGTTACTATTCCACCTTTAAAAAAAATGTTTTGTTACCTATTTTTGAGAGAGAACGGGGGTGAGGGGCAGAGAGAGAGGAGGAAAGGATCCCAAGCAGGCTTCGTGCTGTCAGCACAGAGCCCAATGTGGGTCTTAAACTTACCAACTGTGAGATCATGACCTGAGCTGAAATCAGGAGTTGGATGCTTAACCAAATGAGCTACCCAGGCACCCCACTATTCCACCTTTTTTAAACCCAAGATCCAATAAAACAAGATGAAAAAGCTTTGCCACTATTTTAAAATGCAACCAGGAGGGGCGCCTGGGTGGCGCAGTCGGTTAAGCGTCTGACTTCAGCCAGGTCACGATCTCGCGGTCCGTGAGTTCAGGCCCCGCGTCAGGCTCTGGGCTGATGGCTCGGAGCCTGGAGCCTGTTTCCGATTCTGTCTCTCCCTCTCTCTCTGCCCCTCCCCCGTTCATGCTCTGTCTCTCTCTGTCCCAAAAATAAATAAAAAACGTTGAAAAAAAAAATTAAAAAAAAAAATAAAATGCAGCCAGGAACGAAGTTTTGTCAGTATTCTAGAATTATGTAATAGAAAATACCTACATATGAAGACATTACTTATGTTGTAAAATATATTCATATTTACTAAGTTATGTAATAAGATTTGCTAAAATTTAGACTTTTAGATTTTAGGTTTTAAAACTTTTTTAGCTAGCAATCTCAATTTACAAAAGAGATTTTAAGTAATCCCTCTAGATGAACAGAACTTCTGCAACAAGTATTTTTTTGTTTTTAGACTTCTTAAAATAACCACAGAAGATAACACTGTGTTCTAGAGTTACCATTCATTGACTTTTGAATGTTTTGTACATTTTCCCTTTGTACCAGTATTTAAAAATGAAACCTATATCCATATCCTTATGTCCACACAGTAAACTTTTAGCACACAGTGATGACTAAAATCATCGAATAATTTTTCAAGTACTATTTCTAACCTGAGTGAGTTTGTCTAGCTCCCCTAGCCAGGCTCCAAACATTTTGTCCAGGTCCTGATCTTCCTTATCACTGTCTTCTTCAGCACCATGGTCAATTTCTTCATCTGATAGCTGCTCCATCTGAAATACAGATATTTGGGTAGAATGAAGAGTAACAGGCTAACTTGAAAAATTATGCAGTATCTCTTGTGATATATATTGCAACTTTCTGGAGTTAAATCTTCAAAACTAGAGATCACATTACACACAGGAACTAGAAATCATTAATGGAGACAGGACTGACAAGTGAATAGGAATGAGCACTTAAGTCTCAAATTTTTAGGAAATTGTGAAAAAGCAAAATGTATCAGATTATGACCAGAATCACAAGTTAACAGTAATTCTAAAATTGCAGAGCCCTCCCATTAATCAGAGGATTTTATGGTAGTACAGTTTTCTCCACTAACTGATCCTATAACACTCCAAACACCACAGAGAAACAATTTCAGAAGACTTCAATCCAGCAAGTTATTATCTCACTTATTCTGTAAAAATCTGTTTAGATGCAAATAAGTATGTATCCTGCAAAACTTTAGTCCAAAAATCACTTCAGAGAAAAGACAAAACAAAATATTTTATCTAGGTTAGTTTGTTGAATTAGTTCCTCCTCCTATATTCTTTCTATCTTATTTTCTCATTGGTTACTACAAGATTGAAGGAACCAGATTGAAATTTAAAAAACTTTAGAAAACTGGAATTGAAAACTTTAAATTCCTATACAAAGTTTCCTATATGTATGACTTTTCAAGTGTAATTTCATGAAAGAAGAGATATTTTCCTTCTCATTAATCATAGGATATCTGACATGGAACCTACACATTGTTTTGAGGAGGCAAAAAAGATTACACAAAACAAAGATCAATTACTGACCAGATACTTAAAGTTCTTAAAGTAATATTAATCTGATTATTATATTTCAATATAAAGGCTCTGAAAAATCTTTTAAATTTTCAGTACAGTTAACATACAGTGTTATATTTGTTTCAGGTGTACAACAGAGTGATTCAACAATTCCATATATTACCCAGTGCTCATCACAAGTACACTCCTTAATCTCCATTACCCATTTCACCCATCTCCCCATTCTGGTAACTATCATTTTTTTTTTTTTTAATTTTTTTTTCAACGTTTTTATTTATTTTTGGGACAGAGAGAGACAGAGCATGAACGGGCGAGGGGCAGAGAGAGAGGGAGACACAGAATCGGAAACAGGCTCCAGGCTCTGAGCCATCAGCCCAGAGCCTGACGTTGGGGCTCGAACTCACGGACCGCGAGATCGTGACCTGGCTGAAGTCGGATGCTTAACCGACTGCGCCACCCAGGCGCCCCACTAGGCAATATTTGGAATACTGCCTGTCAGTTGGTTTAAACAATTCCTCAGAGATTAAAGATATCCTAATCTCAAATAAGAATTTGTACACATATTGTACTTCCAAAGCAACAATCAACAAAATTGTGATCCTTAAAATGTGGTTGTATGCTATGTGAGGAATTTCATTGTCTAATGAAGTATCATGAAACTAAATTTTAAACCTTATGTTACTAGATAAAATTTTGCAGAGTCAAATAATGCTGCAAAATCAAATTGAACTTAGTTCTAAGGATGTGGAAAATCAGATCATATCCCATTTAATCACTTAAGGAAAATAATTTTCTTAAGCTTAATACTACAAAGGATCATAGCTTAGCAATATCTCTAATGTAAACTGATAACTCTCATTTCTTAATTTCACTACCTTAAACATGTATAAATCAGGACATTCTTTTTTTCTTAAGTTTATTTATTTTGAAAGAGAGAGAGAGAGAGAGAGAGAGCAAGAGCGAGAGAGAATTCCAAGTAGGCTCTGCGTTGTCAGCACAGAGAAACGAGGTGGGGCTTGAACTCATGATCCATGAGATCAAGACCTGAGCAGAGATCAAGACTCAGATGCTTAAAGGACTGAGCCACCCTGGCGCCCTGCCCCCTGACCAGGGCTTTCTGTCTTGACAAATGGAAAATACATCCACTAATTCCCCAATTCATACATTTGAGTCTTAAAGAAATTTGGTTTTTATAATTCACTTGTGTTAATAGTTCAAGGATTTTTATTCATTAATGAATTACAGATCTATCTCAACAGAAAACTGATATCATACTTAATCACTAAATATACCCAGAAAGACATAAAATGTTTGTACAAAGAGAAACCTGACGAGGTAATTTAATTACTCAAATAACAGTTGCTAGCTTGAGAACATCTAGGGGTAGTAATACCCAGTCTTCATAATGAAGACCAAAAAGCAACAAAACTGGAATTTAAAAGTCAACTTCCTCTTCCTTCCTAATCTTAAAATTAAATACACTGGAATAACCCAGAAGCTAAAATATTCTAGCAGGAATTCTGCTTTGAGATAATGATTATGCCTGCACTTCCCTTCTGAGCACACACTGTAATTGCCCATAAGGAAAATGCTATACTGGAAAAAAAATAGGAATATAATTTTGCATATAATTTTGTAGAGCATATGTGAAATAGTTCAAAATGAATATAAGTATTTTAAATTATCACAGAACTAAACAGAACTATAGCCTCCACATCAAAGACTAGTGTGTTAATTTTGAGTTTTTTCCTATTACTCAAACTCAATAATTATTCAGATTTATTAAATCTCTTTAAATATTTTCATTGATAGTTTTACCTGGATTACTACAGATTAAAGTAGAGGAAATATGGCTAGGGAGCAATATGGAAATTATGAAGCAACTATTTGACTTTTACTATTTATGTAACTTTTGCCAATTTTTTCCATTCTTGAATTTCTGTCACTACATGGGTTATTTATAAAAATTAACTTAAGACACTTATCCAGAGACTTTTCCAAAAAAAAATTAGGTCCTAAAATATTTCTTAACATATCTACACCCTAAAATACCATTCTCCATTCTCTAGAAGCTGAAGTTGATCTTTATTCTCCTACACCCAGAAATGGCATCATTTCTAATTATTACACACACCAAATAGCACTCCCCCCCCAAAGTTGTCTTGGCTGTACTGTTAAAGTCAGCAAATCCTGTACAGAAATTCATTCCTTATTACATATTGATACCTGTCTCCAATTAGATCGCAATTCTAAATCTGAATTTTCCCAACATAATGCCCCTACTGGAAATAACATCAGAAAATGCAAATAAAATAATACAACAGTCAACTGTCCCTCCAAAGATGAAAAAATTAAGGAAAAGAAAATAGAACTTATGACTCTTATTTTTAAATTATAATGCATACTAGAATACTATTAAATTATCCTATGACTATTAGATTAGGTACTTTGGGGGTGAGGGGAATATTCACTTTAATTCCCTGCTCCATTACATCTGAGGGAAATTATGTTCTGAAAAAATAAATGTACCCTAACACAAACGAAAAGGTTTATTCCCCAAAGGGCAGACTTGCTGAATATAAAATAAAATCCATAGTCACTGGCAGATCAAGAAAACCCTGAGTAATCCTGGACTTCAGGGACCTCTGTGACCTCTCTTCCCACTCTACCCTCCAACCACACAGTCCTGCCTGCTATTCCTTGGAGCAGAAAGTGGGGGGAGGGTGTAGATTCTGTTTTGAAGATAGATTGAGAGATGTCTAGTAAATACCCAACTGGAAAAAGTGAGGAAGGGTTAGGAGTCAGGTAATGAGAAGGTTTGGTTGCCTGATTATTTCAAAATCATACGTTTATTAGAGAATAATCACAGATTGCAGGTAATAATGAATGAACTAATATTTTAAGCTAACTTACATTTATTTTTTTCATGTAGTAAAAACAAAAATAATGGGGGAATGATCCACTGTTGCTTATATGCAGGTTGGGTTTCATTTTACAGATAACAGTCAATAATTGTGCTTCGATTATTACAGGTTAAAACTTACATATAGCAAGCTCTACTACACACAACAAAACAATTCATTTAGTATTCCTTAGTAAGAAACAATATTATTTCCACTAAATTTTCTATGAAGTTAATTATTTAAACATATTTTCCCTATTAGATTTCCTCTTGGGAGATATTTTGGTTTACTATTCAATTTTCTCACTGTGAGATAGAATGGTGATCTTTATCAAGAAGGCTGGGCTTAGAGTAGGATTTAAGAATTTGAATAAATATATTCCAGGTAGGACAAATTATAAAGAGCAAAGGAGAAAGCCTGTGTTTATAAAACTGTCATGACACTGACTCAAATAAAACAAGAGTTTGAAAAAGTGAGTTTTAAGAGGACTAAGGTCATATATATGACTTTGAAAGCCAAGTCTATTTTTCCCCCAGAAGGCAACCGTATTTTCAAACACAGAAGCAAAGAGGTAGGGGGAGAAATGGTATTTTACTCAGAAATGGTATTTTAACTGTGTAAAAGTTATTAGGAAGGGGCTAATATTTAGAGGACTACTGTGAATATTATGTAGAGATAATTACACAAATGGAAATTGAAGTCCAAGTCATATGTTTAGAGAGTGGCAAGAAAAATACGTGGTATTAAACAAAGGTGCCTTATTTATTACTGAAACTTTTGTCCCTTTAACAATTCAAAAATAATTGTTTTTTTGTTAAAAAATATATATATACATACATATGTATATATATACATACACATATGTATGTATATATGTACTTAAAACCACATGAAAACTCCCAGAATGCAGCAGTACAAAGCTGCCACTACAGCATTTCTCCAGGTCTAACATGCTCAATGTTCCAAAGAGGCAAGAGAAGCTTTGATTTAATTTAATGTTTGCTGTACACCTGCTGTGTGCTAGACACTGGGGGAAGAGAGATGGACATGATAGCCTCTGTCTTTAAGGAATGTATAATCTAGTAGGGGGCAGACAAGGAAACCAACAATGATAAAACACTGTGTTAAGTACTACAACAGGGGTATGTTATGTGACTATAGTTTAATTTAGTTTGAGGAGACTGGAAAGGGACGACGCTTCAGTCCAGACCTGAAGAATGAATGTGCAAGGCAGAGAAGGGGAAGAGTGTTTTAGACAGAGGGACCACGATGTGCAAGGGCATAAAGCTGTGACAAAGTAAGACACGTTGAGAATTC